AAGAAATTATTCAAAATATACCAAATAAAATAATGTTAATCACATAATCAATTATATATGTTTATTTAAATGCATGAAAGAAAATGTGTTTTGTTTAAACATTAATTCCAATTATTGGAATATTAATTCCTTAAAATGTAACCATAACTCCCATCATATTTGACCAAAAAGGCAAAAACACACAGAAAAAACTCCCATGACATTAATACACATGTAACTGCTAAGAAAGATTATTAAGTGTCCTTAGATTATTTTTGATATATCACTCAGAAAGAATACACAACTCACTTTAAATTACACCAAAAAAAAAAGTTAGCCCAAAAATGACAAAGCTGTAACGTGTGATACTTAATTTTATGTCTAATTGAAAACTACAGTTAATATTCAATCAAATACCTTTCATTGTCGTTAGCATGTAGGTAGACTACATACAAAGGTAAATGCTATTACTGTATAACACATTTAATTCTACAAATGTAACGTAGCTGCTAAAACTACAATTAATTTTATTCACAAATATATAATATTAAAAGCAATTTATTATTGTTTTGACAATATAATTTTTTTATAAATAGTACGACATGTTCAATACTAGAAAATTGTGTAGGGATATAACATGACAAGGTTTTTCTGTAAGGAGCTCTATTATCACGACATTTGTCACTTTCTTCTTACGACATGTGGCACATATATATATTTTTATTATGACATTTAATAGGGAAAATTTTCTTTCACACCACTTATTATATACTTTAATATCCCTACATGTATATATATATATATATATATATATATATATATATATATATATATATATATCAATTAAAATATATAAAAAGTTTAAATACAAAAATAATTAAAAATATTGGAATCTTAGAATTTGTTCTTTCATACAATTTATTATCTACACTAAAATTTTAGAATTTTTTCTTTCATACAATTTATTATCTACAGTGTATATGTAAAGACCAACTTTATGCCATATTAGTGTAAATCATTTATATATAATTTTTGGCTTCATATACCATATTTTTCTATAATTTTATATATTTTTTCCTTAGATTATTTTATAAAATTCACATTATATTATTAAAAAAACTATAAGATGTTTATATTTTATCATCATAATTAAAATAAATAAAACATGAAATTATTTCACAATAATATATTCTATTCTATTCTTTTGGGATCGTCTAATAATAATTTCTAATATATCAATGGTCTAAAAAATAACTACTACAACAGCTAATCTATTTTAGAATTAGTTTATACTGCATAAGATATTCAAAATATAAAGAACATGTGTAAGAAAAAAACTAATTTAAGAATTGAAATCTCATAAACAAGAAATTATTCAAAATATACCAAATAAAATAATGTTAATCACATAATCAATTATATATGTTTATTTAAATGCATGAAAGAAAATGTGTTTTTTTAAAAACATTAATTCCAATTATTGGCATATTAATTCCTTAAAATGTACCATAACTCCCATCATATTTGACCAAAAGGCAAAAACACACAGAAAAAACTCCCATGAGATTAATACACATGTAACTGCTAAGAAAGATTATTAAGTGTCCTTAGATTATTTTTGATATATCACTCAGAAAGAATACACAACTCACTTTAAGTTACACCCAAAAAAAAGTTAGCCCAAAAATCACAAAGCTCTAACGTGTGATACTTAATTGTATGTCTAATTGAAAACTACAGTTAATATTCAATCAAATCATTGTCGTTAGCATGTAGGTAGACTACATACAAAGGTAAATGCTATTACTGTATAACACATTTAATTCTACAAATGTAACGGTAGCTCATGATGCTAAAACTACAATTAATTTTATTCGCATATATAATATTAAAAGCAATTTATTATTGTTTTGACAATATAATTTCTTTATAAATAGTAAGACATGTTCAATACTAACCATCATATTTCAAGCCCCACAAATTTTGTAACATTTTTCTATTCACTTAATAGTTTCTAATCTTCTTTCTTATTTTTTGCGTATTTTTTTTTGTCAGTTCTTTCTTATGTTATATATGTTTGTAGAGCTGGATATTTTTTAATATGTTCGAAATTCATATGTTAAGGTGGTGACTATCTTAAAGTCAGTTAAAATATTCGACGTATAGTTTGTGTTTGTTTTTTTTTTTATATATTTCTTCCAACGCCCAAAAATTTGATTATCTATCTTTCGTTTATAGTTATTAATGAAAAATTTATTGCACAAGAAAAAAATAAGAATGAAAAGAATCTAATTCAAAAATAGATAGTTTGAAAATGGATATGAAGTATAGTTAAAAATAATTTAGTTTTATTTTTTTACAGTGTGACAATTATTGTATAGATGGGTGGTTCAAATTCTTGAGTCTATTCACGAACAACCCAACCCAACAATTGGTTTGGAGATCGTTCAAGAGAGAACGACATGGCATATAGTTTTTCAAACCGGATCGGGAAATTTGCCGATTCACAATTTTTTGTCGCTGAGATTTGCGGATTCACACTCCGAGTGTACATTGTATAAATTATCTTCTAATGATATTTAACTTGCCTACATTTTAAATAACTACTCCAACATTTCGTATATTTAAAATCAATTTACCTAAACATTCACTATTTTAAAGTAAACAAGTAACATGCTCCTCTTTTCCTAATTGGGCAACCAATTGTGGAGTTATTTTTTAATAAATGTGTGGTTGACAAAAAAAAAAAAAGTAAACAAGTAACATCAAAATATACGGAAAAAATAACATTGAGTGTCTTAACAAATTCATTTTTTCTTTACAGCGCTAATGAATACTACTGTTTATAATTATGTCTACGTATGCTAATAATTGCCTTTCTAATTCAAAAGACTAATAGTGATATTTAACTTGCCTACATTTTAAATACTTATTTCGTCAGTTTATATAATTTAAAGTTAATTTCTCTAAATTTCAATTATTTCAATGGTTCATTTGTTGATCCATTTTTAAAAGTTAACAGTCTTATAGACAGTCAGTCGAACTTTTGGAATATTGATCTCTTAAATGCGATTTTTGATCCAGAAGATGTCGTGCTAATAAGTGCCCTACCTGTGAGTGCACCAACTAAAGAAGATACTCTGGATTGACATTTACAAAATCAGAAAAATATACAGTCAAATCGGGAAATCATACCACACGGATAGAAAATTCGGAAACCAATTTATCATTTATTGGCCCGGATATCAAAACGCTAAAAGCACATTCTTGGCAAGTGCAATGTCAACCTAAGGTCCGTCATTTCTTGTGGTAAATCTTAATGGGTTGTGTACCGGTTACGGAAAATTTGCGGAAAAGAGGTTTTGATTGTGACTCAGGGTGTGTCAGATGTGGGGCATCAGAGGAAACGATCAATCATACAATCTTTCAATGCCACCCTGCACGACAAATTTGGGCGCTCTCACAGATTCCTACGGCTTTGGGGAATTTCCCCTCCGGAATCTGTTTTTGCGAATTTGGATCATTTGTTTTGGAGAATATCTTCCGAATTCGATTCATCAGCTTTTCCATGGATTCTCTGGTATATTAGGAAAATAACTTCTTAATGAAAATCATGGTTATGTGGATTTGGTAACTCGATCTCAAGTGGAGGATGCTTCACTTGATTCGAATTATTCTGGATACCGCTGTTTTGTGGATGGATCATGGAAAGAAAGTGATATGTTCTCTGGTACAGGGTGGTTTTGTACATCATCAAATGGAGAGCTGCCAACCTCCGTAGAAGTCTATCTCCAGTACATACAGAAGTCGAGACCCTTCTTTGGGCGATGAAGTGTATGATTGGTGCAGATAATCAAGAGGTAGGGTTCTTTACAGACTGTTCTGATCTGGTGAAGATGGTGTCATCTCCAACCGAATGGTCAGCGTTTTCAGTGTATTTGGAGGAGTTTCAGAGCGACAAGAAAGATTTTTCAACTTTCTCCTTATCTCTAATTTCTCGCAGTGCTAATGTAAAAGCGGATAATCTTGCACGAAAAGTTCGTACATAACCGCTTCATGTCACTTCTGTAAACAACATTCCCCAGGAATGACTCTCTTGAACACTATTTAATTTTGGATGATAAAAAAAAGGAAAAGAAACAACATTGAATGTCTTAACAAATAATTTTTCTGAGCAACTTTAATGAATACCACCGTTTATAGTTATGAAAAAACTGAAATGTAAAGAGAATCTATACTATATAATAGGAGATTTGTCTCTCCATCTAAAATGTCCACATCATCATCCATGTCATTATATTTTATATTTTATGTGAACTCCACATATTTTATTTATTAAAAAACATTGAAACTAAAATTAATTAAAACACTTTGTAATTTATACTATTATATTTCATTAACAAACAAATAATTTACAAAATAAAAAAAAAATATTTAAAAAACAAAAAAAAAAACAATTTTATAACAAAAATATGAAATTTTTGAATATAAATTGGATAAATATAAAATTAGATAATCATATCTTAAGATATAATGCGTAAATATTTTTAAATGACTAAAGATATGAAAAAGCAAACTTATCATACATTTTAATAGCGCAACAATCATTTTTAAGAGTTACAATTATTTAGTAGAATAAAGAAAAAATAAGACTTAAAAATATACCAAATTTAATGGTTTTTTACTTTAAAGAAAAAGTGATTCATTTCGGAAAAATACACATTTAAAAAGATATTTATCTTTTTCAAAATTCACACTTTTTAGAAAAATCATATAAAATATCCTTTGTTCTTCAAACTAATATATTTATTCTACAAAATCTAATCTTGATAACAAAAGCTTACAAAAAAAAGTCTTTATTAATATTTTAATTTGTAACTTATGCATTTAATTGAATTCTTTCAAATTCAATTAAATTATTTTTATTGGATAACCCCCTTCAACAACAACTGATTGAGGTTGATTTACAAACTTCCACCAATCTCGTAGTGCTTGCATTGCTTTGCATAGGAAACGCAGGAAAAAAGGTAGAGCATATATTAGACCGACGAGTAGGGCAAAGTTGAGAGATATACAATAGAGGAAGTGGAGGAGAACAACGAAGCCAAAGTTGTGACTGAAAAGTCCAGAAGTGTATCCTAGGTCACATACTGACACATCCGTGATTGCCACAATCCAACTTATGAAACTAACTAGGACGCAAATGATATACGAAACACCGAAACCACTTAGCAAATCTGTAGTTATATCTGATTCAACCGCAATCTTGTAGGTGATCATATACAATATCGCTGCGATGTTGAGGATTAAAATGAAGCTGTTCATCGCAATGTTATATCGTAGGTCCTTGTTCATCCTGCAACCAACCATTAATATAGTTTAAGAGGATTTGATTCAGTTTACATAATACAATATATAGTAATGGACGAACAAAACAAATCAATGATATGGAGTCTCACCACCATACGCGTAGGCGGCTAGGATATTCATGGACGGTTGTTGCAGTAGGCTTAGTAGCAGCAACGTTAGTATTAGTCATGTCTTCTTCGATTGCTAATGATGCGGAAGAAAACTATGTAATGAGACGTAGCTCCTTAGTTAAATCCTAATGATGCCTACTATATATAGGTCTCTTCTGGTTAATACTAGCTAGTCCCATTTCATGCTTTTATGAGATTTTGTTTTAATTTTTTTTCATATTTAATTAATGAAAAATACTTGTTGGTTTTATAAAGTATATATAACACATGTTTGTTTATTACCTGTGAAACAAATTACATATATACTGTCACATTGCCACATGTATATTTGATAAGGAAGCTTATCACTAATTAGTTAGATAAGATCCTCTTAGAAGATTTGTTACTATATATTAATATACAGAAAGATAAAGGAGAAACAACAACATTAGTTATAGTTAAATTATTTAAAGAACATATGTCCAAAGAATATATATATGATTTAAACCAATTCAAATTTAGAGAAATGTTATAGTTTGGTTTCATAAGTTGGTTCGGTTTAAAGAACACTTTTCGAACGAGAAAAGATCGAAAATCTGGATCACGAGGGATAAATGCATAAGCCTTGGATGCAAATTAAAGCATCTTGTAAATTCACCAACCCTAAATTATTCAGAACATGGGGACAGTCATAGATCTTTTTTCTGACGAAGAAAGTGAGAAGCAGTAAGTACTCGAGATGCTTAAGGTGGAGCTAAATAACTTCAACTGATGAACGAATTCAACCCTAACATGGTATGATTTCTAGATCTAGTTCTGGTTCTTCACTTATTTAATATTGTAGATTCTTTGAAAATGATTCAAATATTTAGGGTTGAATCATTTCAAAAATTATTTTGAATCATTTTCTATTTTTCTTACAGAAAATCAGAATATCGGCTCCAATTGGGAATACTGCATGATCGCCTAATGATATAAATCGCATACTGAAAAGTCGCAGGATAAAAATTTGCAAAATGAAAACTCACTCGCAAAATGAAAAATCGTATAATGAAATAAGCAACTATATACTTATTTATTTATCTACATAATGAGTTTTTACTTGAATTGTTTTAGGCGAAAACTCAAATCCTGAGTTTTTGTGTTTTGGTAACTATTACAAATTTTCTTGATTAGTAAAATTCTTGCGTAATCGGATTATAAAACGCCATTCCGCCATTATTCGTGTTATAATTCATAGCTATCTTATTAATTGCATCGTTGGATTAAAATATGTTTAATAACCAACATTGTGAATCAACTTACCTCGCAATATCTTTTACCACATTATCTCCATGTACACATGCAACAGCATTTTGGCATATGATTTCTTGTCTGTTTTTCCCAATCGCTAACTTTGCTTCTCAAGTTTTTGTTTCTTTTCTTGTCTTTCACTACCTAAGGACACCCAAACTCTATAGCTAACATTGGGAATTTTCTACTCAAAGGTCTTGTGGACTCCATTTGGGCCTAGTTCCTATCAATTAGTCCGGCATATACCGACCTTGACATGCGACGGTGGGCTCATATAGTTGGGAAAGACTTGTCTGGGATAAGGCCGCTTTGTAAGTAAACTTAAATCTTCTTAAGTAACCATTCATATGTCTCAAAACATCCAACATATGGCATATCAAATTAATTTAGCGAAAGAGTATGTTCAGTTTGTTGCATAAAAATTAAAAGAAAGAACTGAAAAAAATTCGAATTTAAAACAAAAAAATATATATATAGAAATTGAAAGACAAAATTTTTTTTTGTGCATTAGAAAAAAACATGCTATTTGCGAGGGAATATTTCCTAGAAAATTTCTCGTAAACTAAAGAGCCTTTAGCGAGAGAATTGCAAGGAAAATTGCACTACACTCCTCGCAATTAGGAATTATCGCAAATCCCTCGCAAAATTTGCAAAGAAAAATCATGTAGCAGTTCCCTCGCAAATGTCGTCTAGTAAAATCTCTCTCACATATTGCGATGGCTTTCCGTGTAAGAATACCATCGAGTAACCAAATATATTTATTTTTTTATAATTTTTATTGTCCATTGCAAATTTTTAGTAAATTAATAAATTATAAATTAGTTAAAATTATTCAAAACCCCATATAAAATTTAATAATTTATCAAAGTTAATAAGTTATCATATACATAAAGAGAGATTTTGGTGGAAGCCCCCTCGGCCCAATGGTTGACCAAGGGTTAATTAATGCTTCTACACCAAGAGGTCTGGGGTTCGAGTCCCAGATACTGCGATTTATTAACAAATATGCAGATTAATGGAGACAAGTGTGCAGGAGATCTCCAGCGATGTACAATTATAGCCGTTCGCCAGGATTCTACGCAGAGAGGAAGGTATCGTCAGGTCGTGTATGAAGAAGGAAGTGTAGCCTGTCGTGGATCCAATAAGGGTCGGAAGGAATTGTCAGTTGTAGAATCGTCTATGTAACAGTTCTCATAATTTGCAATTAATAATAAATCCAGACGTTAAAAAAAAAAGAGAGATTTTGTTGTCTTTTACAGTTACCATTAGCGAGAACATTAGCAGTCTTGTTTCTTGCATATCACTTTGTCAAGGCATTCACTACTATTCAACCCTGTAGGCAAGAGAGGCTGAGAAGCAACATTCAAAACATTCTTTCAATTCTAAAATATGATTCTTGTAGAGATATTGAAAACCCAAAACAGATTGTTTGTTTTTTCTTGGGGGTTCGTCAGTCGTGTGAAGCTATATAATTAACTTGTTCGTTTATATATCCTTCCTTGGTTTCTCCTTTCTCGTCTTATGAAGAAACTGCGCAGCCTCAGTTATATTACTTCATATTCAATATAACTTCTCCTTATATATGCTGTTTGATTTGGGATCCTTTGATTTGTAAATATGTTCATGAACACAAAATAAATGTTGATATTCCAAGTTGATTAGATGATAAAAGATGTTACCAAAAACACGTGATTTAAGGATTATCAAATAATTTCAACTACAATCGATGGTCTTAAAAGGAAAAAAGAAGTATTATTTTCACGTTTAGTAAGAAATTGAGTTTCTCTCTCACCGTTTGGCAAAGTGAGAATTGGTTCTCACCATTTAGCAATTTAGGTTTTTTCTGACCAAAATACCCCCAAACCATAAACAGTTCTCGTTCAGTTATGTTTGGACTTCTCCTATTTTTTTTATCTTATTATGTGTAAAAAAAAAATGAAAAAAAAACAGAAGAAGAAGCAGAAAAACAAATCGAAAATCAAATTTTTCAACTTCAAAAATCTTTGTGATAATAGTTTTCTTAAAATCTGAACAATCTCGCATTCATCTTCGATTGAGAGTTTTTGAGTCGAGTAAGTAGAAACAAATTTCATATTTCCGGCGATGAACAAAATACAAGAAATTTCTTGAGATTCAAACACTTTAGTTTTTCAAATTTAAAATATGCTAACGTTTACTAGATTCATATGTAGAAAGCATTCAAAACTTAAGGAAAACAAGATTATGAGATAACTGTTAAAGACGGCCACAAAATTAGGGTTGTAGAAGAGAATACTTAGGTTGAAGACGACAGGAAAATTACAGTTTTACCCTTCATCGAATTTCTTCTGTGTACGTATATATAATTTACGGTGTACGTACACGAACATATTTAGTGGAACGTATATGATACAATATTAAAGTGGTTGTAATAATTATATATCTAACCACCCTCTTTTGACTCCAAAATTAAGCTATTTTGTTACTTTCGTCTATCTCAATAAAATTCATGCATATATAATAATTAAGTAAAAATATATGGTCAAAGAATATTTGTTCCTCATATTTCTGAAAATATTATGTACGTATACGTATAGTAATGTACGTACATCTTTGTTGGTGAGTTAAATTTGTTAAGATAAATGTATTGATACAATAATAAACTATTATTGGCGACATGTACCATGCCAATTTGCATTTGTGTATATCAAACATTCATCGTCAGATACTTCCTTGTGTACATAATTAGTAATGTACGTACATTCTTCTAAAAATCATGTTTTACCTCCTGATTATGACTACAAATGGTTGAATATCACCATTCTCTCCAAAATGATCGATGCTTTTTCAATTACGTACATGTTAATTAGTATACGTACACATTTCTAAAGATCAACTGAGTGTCACCAGCATTTCCGACATGTCCTATCCCATATTTTTCAACAATAAGATGAGTCAACTTATTGTAATGTAATCTTTGCCACTACCTTGTAGCAAAAGCAAACTTTGATTGCAAGATAAGCCATTGTTTGTTTTATGACTTGCATGTTCATAAAAACACTCCCCACATACAAAGTAACACTTGTCGTACTCAGTTCAACTTGTGTCTCATCGGCTCAAAAACTGGGTAAATCATCGAATACCGGAGCAGCATTACGTATATATTATTACCGTGTACGTATATATTATTACCGTTACGCACATATGTGTATATGATATTGCTAATCGTGAATAGTCTTCGATGATAATAAATAAAATATTATTTAAAATAGAAATAAAAAATATGAAAATGGGTCTGATAGAAAAAAAAGAATTTTAACTAAAAATATAAAAACAATAAATATTTATAAAATGGAAAAGCGAATCATCTACTGACAAGTGTTTAAGATTTTCAAACCACACACGGCTCTGTGTCACGTTAAAACATACTATTCCTCAATGTTTTTCTTTAGTTGTGAGGTTTGTTTCTACTGCTTCTCGTATTTGACATATGATTATGTAAATTGCGTAACAGAGCTGGAGTTTTGTGAGTCTCATTAGAGTCAATTTGTGTGTTGATCATAATTGATTTCAATTATTTACTGAAAACAAATTATTAATATTTTTTTAATTGAGTTCATAGAAAACTTGTATGAAATTGGTAAGATATTTTTGGTAGAAATATGTCCTTATTTGAGTTTTTTCTATTTACGTGTATGTATTTTACGGTATACACAGTATTGATTATAAAATGGATATGTACTTCAGTTATATCATGTACTATTGTGGAGACGGTGTACGTAATATTTATAGAGTTTGTATTTTAGTTTTTTGACTTCAAAATACGCTAATATAAACTAGATTTACAAAATCAATAAATAAATTAAATGTAAAAAACAAAAGATTATAAGAAAATTGTGAACAATGGCCACAAAATTAAAGTTGCCGAAGAAGAAACCAAGTTAAAGATGAATACAAAATTAGAATGATGCCTTTGAGTATATGGACGTGTACGTCTTTCAGAGTATGTAGCATTGTTGAGTTAACGTACGTGTAATATTTACAAATTCTTAAATTGCAACATTGGTTAATTCAACAATCGTACTCTGATTTAGGTAAAACAGATCTTCCAATACTAAATTGCACACAATTACCATACAGTGAACAGTGTACAGTGTACGTAACGGAACCGCATAACTGAACCGTACAGTGAACAGTACATCGCATAACTGAACCGCATAACTGAACCGGAACAGTGTACGTAACTGAACCGCATAACTGAACCGTACAGTGAACAGTACATCGTTACGCTGGCAGGGGTAAAATGGTCAGATTTTGGCTAAATTGTCAAAACTTGAAAACCAATTCTCACTTTGCCAAACCATGAAATTAAAAGATGGTCTTATGCCCTGACCTGCAATTTACCCAAAAAAGAAAGCAAAAAAAAAAGAAAAAAAAAAACCTAAAATTCACATCTTAAACAAGAAAAGACCTTAAACAATAACAACTGACGATTGTGGTCGATTCACAAACTTCCACCAATCTCGTAGTTCTTGCACTCTTTTGCATAGACCTTTCCATAGATACGGACAACACGGTGCAATCATGGCGGCTACGAACCATAGCAAACAAGGTAGACCGAAGTGTAGAGCCAAGTGAGGAGAAATCGAATAGAGGAGGTCTAGGAATATACCAAAGCCAGACGTGTGACCTATACGTCCATAGACGTAAGCTTCAGATGCTAGGCGGACATTCTCGATTGCCATAACCCAACTGATGCAGCTAACTATGCCGAACAAGACGTAGAAAATAATGGAAACAACCAAAATTAAAAGAGCTGGATCAGCTTTATTTAAGGGGATCTTGTGGGTTATCATATACACAATCGCTGCAATATTAATGATTAGAATGATGCTGCTCATGGCAACATCGTATCGTAGGTTCTTGTTCATCCTGCAACCAACCATAAAAATATAATTTTAGAAGATTAAATTCATATAATCAATCGTATATTATATAGTAATGGACAAAAAAAACGTGAAAAAGAAATTCATTAATATGTAGTCTTACCACCATGCACGAAGGAGGCTAGGAGATTCATGGACGATTGTAGTATCATTAGTCATGGCTTCTTCGATAATTGATTTGTTGTTATTGATGTAGAAGAAAACTCAGTTATGATACGTGGCTCTGTAGTTAAACCCTAGTTTGTATATATAGGACTCTTCTTAACTAAGCCCATTCCAAGCCTGATTGAGTTTATTAATTTTATTTATCTATATTAGTATTTTTAAAATATATTTTTAACTGGTGTGTTAAATTATTTTCGAACACAAATGGTACCCGACCCGATAAGAAATTTACTTCAGAAATCTTGCACAAGATAGTTCATATCTTTTTTGGATCAGGCCAAAACGTATCCAAAATTATGAATCTGATATTTCATATTTCATATTTAAGATTATAGATATTTAGAATATTTGGTTAAGATTTAGAAGTATAATTCTCCTATCATCTTTGTTTGAACATTTTGTAACTGTTTTGAATCATCATATAATTCATAAAGTAGAAAAAAAAAATATCAATTTTCTTCTACATATATTGGGATTCGAAATTTTTAAATCAGATATATAAATACTACCCGAATGAATCCTAATCCAAATGAATCAAGAAGCTCAACTTAATAAGCATCCAAATTTAAAATTATATACCGTTTCATTCGGTTTTTTAGTTTAATTGCTTAATTTTACCGGAAATGTTAAATTCAAACTTTTAAATTTTTTTAAGTAATATAATTCATATATTTAAAATCAATAAAAAGTTTATAAGATTATGAATATTAGGACATATATAAAGAGTTATATCACGAGACGGTTATATTGGTAGACAAGGTTATATAACGGGGCGAGTTTTTTTAGAAGTTTTAAATATTACAATTCATATATTTAAAATCAATAAAAAGTTTATAATACAAAAACATTGGAACAAATATAAAGAATTAAAATAATATGGAACGGTTATATTACAAGACGTGGTTATATTGTATGACGGGGATATATGACGGGACGAGTTTGAATAAAAAAAAATTAAAATATCATTAACACTCTGATTCAATACGGTTAAATCTTCATTTTATTAGTTTTTTTAATATTACCAATATTAGACATATCGAATGATCTTGATTAAATTAAATTGTATAAAACAAAAATTGTCTTGTGGTATACTGTTACTTAATAACAATTGTAAACTATAAAATATGAATTTCTTATAAAATGATACAATTTACAAATTTTTTATATAATCTACAATCATTAAATTTTAAAAATCACTAATTTTAAAAACAAATTACACCGCGGGTTAAATCTAGTATAATTATAAAATGGTTCTTGTCTTGAGTCCTTTTCCAAACCTAACTCAGATTTCAATCAAAACAAATAAAAATTTGCATCTGGCTTCAACTACAAATTTTTTTTCTTCCTTCAGCTACGAAATTGTAGTGGTTTTTGATATTTAAGTGTATTGAGAACATTCGGTGTCTTGTTGGTTGCATATTTCTTTTTGTCAAGGCATTCTCATAATTAAGCGCATAATTTAAATTACTATTATGATAAATATTTCTTATTTGATTTATTATTGTATTTTACATCAGAATTTATTTTTTTTGTTTTGAAATAGAGTTTTACAGTTTGTAGGGTTTTGTTAATATGTTTACGATTTTAGGCATTCATGATCTAAATTTATAAAGTTGAGAATCAGGAAATCAATTCTTCGTAATCTTTAGAAAATATAGATCCAAAATAATTCTGAATAAACACAATGATTTTTCATCTTCTTGTGCAGTGCAATACGTGATCTAAACTGAGAGGTGGTCTAGATTAGATTAGTTGTCCAAAATGTGAAAGCGTGCTTGGACACCGAGCCCTTGAACCAAATGACTTAAGCTTAATGTTTCCGAGAACTTGATGGTCTTATGATTTCCGACAAACTTCTAGAAATCTTTTTACTGTGACAACAAACCTCCAAACTAATATTTATCTCAGAAATCTTTGTAGAGCACAATGTTCGTATGTGTTTTCTTACTAAAAAGAAAACAATTGTTTATTAAATTCTTTTATTTGTTACAATAAATAAACTTTTTTTAAAAAAACCTTATGCTTTCAATTAAAATCTTTCAAATTCAATAAACTTTTTTTGTTGAATAGCCTCGTTGAACAGTACCAACTGATTGTGGTTTATTCACAAACTTCCACCAATTTCGTAGAGCTTGCATTTCTTCCCATAGAGACGGTCCAATCATGGAAGTTATATACCATAGCCAACAAGGTAGACCTAAATGTAGACCAACGAGTAGAGCCAAGTAGGGAGAAATACAATAGAGGAGTTCTAGGAAGAAAATAAATCCCATGTTGTGACTGATGCGTCCGAAGAGGTAGGCGTCTCCACATAATGAAACATCCGTGATTGCGCAAACCCAAAGAATGCAACTTCCTAGGCCGCAAGGCAAATAGATGATTATAGCGGAGAGTGTCAAAAACAAGGAATAATCGTCCGTTACGTGAATTTCGTGGTTTCTCATATACAAGATTGCTTCGATGTTGATGATTATCATGAAGATGTTCATCGCAAAGTTGTATTGTAGGTTCTTGTTCATACTGCAACCAATATAATTTAAGAGGATCAGATTCAGTTCAATCAATCTTATATATGTTACATAATAAAGTAAAGGAAAAAAAGAAGACAAATCATTGATATAGAGTCTCACCACCATGCACGAAGGAGACTAGAAGATTCATCTTCGATAGTAGAAGTAGGCTTAGTAGCAGCAACATTTGTATTAGTCATGACTTCTTCGATAATTGATTGCTAAAGATGCGCAAGAAAACTCTATAATGAGGATTTGCTCGGTTGTTAAAACCCTAATGCCTAGAGATATATAGACCTCTGGTTAACCTAATCCAATTTCATTCCTGAGATTTAGTTCATCTAATATATATCTTCTTATTATATATATAATAAAAGAAAGACATAAAAAAGAATTCTGTTACGATATTAAAAAAGAATCCTTTTTTTTTTTAATTAGCAATGTATTGTATAATTTTCTTAAGATAATCTTATTATACAAATTTTCTTTTAGAATTAATCATTAATTGTATAATTTTCTAAATTAACGAAGTATATCATTTAAAAAAAAATAGTAACAATCATTTTCCTTTCTGCTTTAGTAGAAGAAAATAAACAAAAGTTTTTTCTTTTAGTAAAATTTATCTTTTGATAATCTTATTGTATATATTTTTCTTAAGGATTAGTAATTAATTATATATTTTTGTCGAAATTTCCTATTTTCTAAAAATAGTAATAAGAATCATTTTTTTTCTTTCAGGTTTATTAAAGGATGAATAAAAGTATTTTGGGTACACTTGTTATTTTTCTGTAAACTTATCTCGATTTTTTTAATATATAACCAGAGAATTAAATAGATATGTTAGTGATTAACTAGTTCTATTCAAAGTCAGATTGAAATTTTTTCTTTTTAATTAATATTTAATAAATAAAACTGTATCGAAATTTTTTTTTTAATTAAGTGGTTAAATGACTACATCTCCAACTTTCTTTTAACGGAGTTCGAATTTGACACTTGAATTGTTTTGTAAAGTATGTCAAATATAAATGTCCCTATATTGCATGTGGAACAAAAATTCACATATAATGTCAAATTGTTACATGTAGAGTTGATAAGATCTTGTTAGAAGATATTGATTAGGACATCCAACCCACAACACGGAACCAGATCAAGAAATATTTTGGACGTCAAAACTTTGAAATATTTTAGTTATTTTGTACATAAATATTTTACTTCGATGGAAAATTAAATAAATGTACTAACTTAATTAAAAAGTTCAAAATTATAATTAATCTATATTTTATTTGATAGATTTTCTACATATCTTTTAACACATATCATATTAATTTGTGATAGATTTTCTACTTAAAAAAAACCCCTGGTGGGCGGATTAGAGTCGATGTTTTACGACTGCAATATTTGGGTAGTTGGTCCTCCAAAAGAATCGGTCTCCTTCCTTATTCATATATCATCCATCCCAAACGAGAATAAGGACGGAGACCGATTCTTTTCTCTTGGACTAAATCTCGTTCTTGATTTGAAGGAAAAAGAGTGAAGATAGTGTTTATATAGATAGTGAAGTGGTGACGTTGCCTAAAACATGTTCTTTGGGTTGTGTGAAGACATATGTTAAAAACATGTTCTTAGAGTCTCTGGTTGATCTTTCTGATAATGAAAAAGGTAAGTTTCTAATAAATCATGGAATTAAAAACAAATTTTCATTAAAAGATTTTGCTAAGTTTTTAAGTAATTGCAAAATGACAAACATTTTTTTTTTTAATTAGGTTTATACAATATACATTTTTATTTCTTTATGGTTATTACACAATGAAAACGATACACATAACATAGAGGAAAGGAAACACTTGACCAGAGAAAAGAAAAGACTTGACATAAAAAAGAAGAAGAGACTTGACTATACGTTAGTCATTATCATTCATTTTTGTTTAAGTACGATATAGTATACCACTTGTTTCTTCCACATCTTAAAATCAATTGGGTGCATGGTGAGTTTCTTAGCCAGTTGATTGAATAGCTCATTGACTGCACCATCTCCAAAATGTTTTTCGACGATTGTAGTGAGAAAAGCTCGAAACGTGGAAGTGATAAAGTCGTTGGTTAATGGAATATCGTCTAGTGGATGGCTTATAGTCTCCATCAGCTCAATTGTAAAGCTTCCATTTTGATCAATCACTCCTCTCACTTCACTAAATTGAGGAAAATACATCGGCATGCAAGCTGAATAATTTGATCTTTTCCTCGCTTGTTACTCCCTACGAAAAAAAAATGATTACTAGTAATTTCTCATGACTCTTAAGCTTAATTTTTTTTAATGATCTAAGACTATATTTCTTTGGTTAGAATCACATATAAGAAATATGAACCAATATACTTATTGCCAATTTGTTTTGAGATAAAAATTCCTAAAATTTAACATTATATTAGGGTTTTGAAGTACAAAAAAAAATGTTTTGGAATTGTATATCTTACCAATTTGGCCAAATCCATAAGACAATCACCGACGGTATCAAACACATTACCCTGCCATGTCTCATACATGGGCACGCCATCCGGTAAACATTGACCTAATATAATCATTAATCCTCCAGGTACAAGCTCTGCCATGTCTTCTACGAACTGAAGTTTGTAAGCCTTGGTCACTTCTTCTATTAAATTGTTACAATGAATGTAATTTCTGTTCCAGGCCGGAGATTTCTTGTCACATACGTGTTTGGGAACTTTGGAAAGCCAATGAGTTGTGTAAGACGTGTTTCCGATGTGGATGCTGTTTCTTGGTAACACTCGGCCATAGAAAGACCCTGGAACACCAACCGAGAAACATTCCCGTTCCGAGGAAGGAGACTGGGTTCTAAAGAGTAGGTTAGGATTCTTATGTATTTGGCAATTAGTATTAGAATACTCAACATGAGTATTATTAGGAAATAAAAGTGTTTGGCAAATGGGATATGTGAATTAAAAAAAAAAAAGATTGAGAAAAATTACGGACTTGTTAAATCAGTAACTAAAAGGCTTTCTAGAATATATCTTGTAGTGTTTTCGAAATCCTAGAAACAAAAAAATCTTTGTAGAATCGGTCAAAATGGAGAATATCTACGACTTATTAGGCGTATCTTGTAGTGATGATCTTCTAACGGATATCTTGTAGTGAATTTTCGAAAACCCTAGAAAATAAATCTTTCAAAATAATTTCAGTTCACAAGTTTAAATTCACCAACAGTTTTCAATCTTATAAAAAACTTCAAAACTAACATTTTTGTAGAAAAATCTGAATCTCATATTTAAATGCGTATATTAGTAAAATTAATAGAATAGTTAATCTGCTAACGGATATTTTTTATTTTTTTTTGGTATGAATCTGCTAACGGATGTTTAACACCTTGAACAAGCAACTTTTTTTTAATTTTTCATTATTTGTTGATACAATAAATCAACTATATTAAAGAAAGAAAAAAATGCCTACTGAAGAATCCTTGATTCCCGAAATCCACATTAAGCAACTTGTTAGGCCGAAAATGAAATAGAAAAAAGCTAAAAATGCCAGAGATACAATTACACCTTCGTTTGAAGGAATATTGTTAAATTTCATATACAAGATCGCTGCAATGTTGAGGATTATAATGAAGCTGTTCATTACAATGTCATATCGTACATTCGAGTTCATCCTGAAACCAACCATTAACACAATTTTTTATATAGATCTATCTTATGTTATGTTACATAATATATACCAAAAAGATAGAAAAAAACAATGTTATGGAGTCTCACCACCATAGACGGAGGAGGCTAGGAGATTCATGGAAGGCTGTTTCAGTAGACTTAGTAGCAGAAACATTAGTATTAGTCATGGCTTCTTTGATAATTTACTGGTTGCTACAAAAAACTACGTAAGGGTGCGTTAAACCCTAATGTCTACAAATGATATATTTATAGTGTTAGAAGTTGGGCTTTGGTCTAGGTTTCAGATAGAATAAAGTTTTACTCGATAATGGGTTTGTCACATGGGCTTTATTGTCATACCAGTGAAGTGATGATGATGAAACCAACGAGGAAAAACATGTTTTTCGAGTTGGAGTTAGATTTATTAAGTCTTAACCTGAAAAAAATGACAATTAACAAATGTATGGAGGAGATTCATTGGTTCTAAATGACATTATGACAATTAACAGAATGTATGGAGGAGATTCATTGGTTCGTAGGTTCTAAATGAATTCACATGGTTTCTTAAAGCGCTCCCGCCAAAATAATTGACCGGTAATTGCCGGTTGTTAGCCTTATAGCAACCGGTTAAAAAAAAAACCCCAAAACGACGAACCCTCTGAATCTGACCGACCACCATTCTTCTCGCGCCGGCGATTTCACTCTTTTCAGAGAAAAATCGAAAACCCTAATTTTTTTCCCTCTTTGTACAGATTCACTCTTCTTTGGTAGTTCAAAAGGAAATTCTCACCTGGGTCTCTCTAGATTTCGATGAAATTTCGAGAATCTAGGGTTTCAAACTAAAATCGACCAATTTCATAATGAGCTCCATCAATATCACTAACGTCACCGTCTTGGACAATCCAGCTCCGTTTGTGAATCCATTCCAGTTCGAGATTTCTTACGAATGCTTGACTTCTCTCAAAGACGGTACCTTTTACTCTCCCTTATCCTCTATCGTTCGAATTGACTCGATTTTGTTATACAATTCGTTCGAATCGATTGAAGAGTGAAGAACCTGTGATTGGTATATGTGAATAATGCTTCAAAATTTCAACTTTTGGGGTTTTAAACTATTACGGTAGCTAATTAACTTCACTGTGTTACGATTTGTATGAGCTCAAACACTATCTATCTCGAGCAATTGTTCTTAATCAACATTGTAGTTTTGGTATTTAGGAGACTCGTCTCTGCTCTATGAGGATTGTTTACTGTGAATAGTGATTTTGTATGTGTTGGCTCTCAAATAGAATTTGACCTCTGGCTCTGTGGCTCTGTAATTTCACACATTACTTGTTGGAAGTTATCGGTTTTTGATTATGGCAAAAGATTATTGTTCTACACATTTTTTCTTGTGTTGCTTATCTTGAAGTTTTGGCCTATATCCACTGGTTCAGTTTCTGTGCTTGTAAATTTTAGTGGCATGATCACATTCTTGTTAGCACGATGTCGGAGATAATGTATCTTTGCTTATTGTACAGATTTGGAATGGAAGCTTATCTACGTAGGATCAGCTGAAGATGAAACCTATGATCAAGTTTTGGAAAGTGTTCTTGTTGGTCCTGTTAATGTTGGGAACTACCGATTTGTGTTACAGGTAATTACACCAATAACACATCTCTCCATTTTTGTTGGTTTAGGGGCATGATCTCAGTTTGATTTCTGATCAATTATGTTAGGCTGACTCTCCAGATCCATTAAAGATTCGTGAGGAAGATATTATTGGTGTAACTGTGCTATTGTTGACTTGCTCATACATGGATCAAGAGTTTATAAGAGTTGGCTATTATGTGAACAATGACTATGATGATGAACAACTCAGGGAAGAGCCTCCTACCAAGGTTTTGATTAATAAAGTCCAAAGGAACATACTCACGGACAAACCTCGAGTAACGAAGTTCCCTGTCAACTTTCATCCTGAGGATGAGCAGGCTGGTGGTGATGGGCCTCCACCTGCTGAACCATTTGGTGATTCTGTTGTAAATGGAGAAGCTCGAGTGTTGGTTGAGCAGTCACAAAAGCTACAGGAGACAGAACCATTTGATGATTCTGATGTAAATGGAGAAGCTCTAGTGTTGCTTGAGCAGTCACAAAAGCTCCAGGAGACATGATTATAGTTTGATTCGAGCCTAACTGGAAACTTGATTAGAACTATCGTCTCAATACTAATCGAAAGATCTGGCATTTTTATTTTTGTTTCTTTTATCTAGAACTTCATCTGCAACTGTGTTATTGTTTGTAGAAATATAAGTTCGTTTTTCACCATGTGCTATGTTCAGAGTTCATAGTTCCCATTCTTCTTGTTTTACTAGTCCAAAGTTAATTTGCTTCTTCTTCAATGGATCATACTCCTATAGTCCATGAAATGTAGATTCTCCTATTACAGTACTCTTACAGGAACTGAAGAAATCACGTGATGGAACTCATCGATGCATCATCTTCACAAGGCAAGTTTACATCTCACATATCTCTTAATCTCCTCAAGTCCTATATGTTAATGAAGTTGAAGTGTCTAGCTATTTGTCGCAAAAAAAATAGTAGTGCATAGGTCGGAATTCTTGGCTTCTGACTGCTCCTATGTTTTTGGATGCATTAGATTTTTATAGCTTCCGATTCGTACTGGTGAGATTCCTTTCACAGCATGTGGTTTCAGTGCCAAATAGTATACATATTGGAGATCACGCTTTTCTAAAACTAGCTGATTTTGGTTCAGTGTGGTTGTTTGGGAGTATTATTTGGAGATTTACTCATCATGTATCTCTTTGGCTATTAAGTTATATAAAGTGTGGGATTTTGGTTGATTTAGAAAAATGTTTTTGGCCATTGATGTCTTAGCATTGGTTTCTTCTGATATTTTGATGATGCAAATCAGTGAAAGTTTGGTGCATACTAGTTCAGAAACACACTCATGTTGATTACTTGTTGCATGACTTTTTGATACTACAAGGTTTCCTTCCGAATGCCTCTTGTTTGTTTTGAAAAGTGGTCTGTTAGCATATAGTATTTTTGTATTCATACAAACGGTGTCTTTCGAGTAAAGAAAGCTTATAGTACAGTATTGGATATTCGCATACAAGGCTGATCATAGACAAGCACAAATTTTAATATTTACAATTTCTGATTTGAACTTGTTTCACATTGATCACATATACTCTGTTGTCTAGTTGAGTGGCGGATCAGAATTTGCACCATTATTATGACCCGTTGGAGATTTCACATCATCATAGCGATAAGAATCTGGAACAGGATTCGTCCCGGTCTGAGGTATAACTTCAGCATTACCACTACTAGGTCCAGGAGAAGGTTTCAGTTCATCAAAACCACCAGGTTTCAGTGGGAGGTTTTGCTTCATCATTGCTAAACGTGAACAATGGGGTGTGCTAGTGTTATATAGCTGTTAGTGTTATATAAAGGTTAGATTGCATTTAATAAAAGTTGCAAGCTGTTCATTGCAAGCAATTTATTAAAAGATGCACATATTCTCAAAATAAGGAATTTTAAAAATTTAAAGGTAAAACTACCAATTTCAACAATTTTCTCACAAGCATCACATTTAAAAACAAGGTTTATGGGTGAATTGTTCTTCAGATTTCTTCTCCGTCTTTGAACTTAGTTTCTCTTCCAAAACAGCTTCCACCAAGACAATTTTCACTGCACAATCAAAGCCGTAAGTACAATCCATGGCAGAAACATTAAATATTAAGCTACAAAACAAACATATGCTGTTTTAGTTTGACGGTTTTAAAATCTGAACGATTATTAGCTCGGGAACGTTTTCTTCAAGAAGTCTCAAGCCTAACAAAAGTATTTTAAAAACCTTCAAGGAACCAAAATATAGTTGAAAAATGCTTAATGGTCGACCTGTATTCATGCATGCATACAGGTTAACACAATGCTATAATATTACTGTTGTTGGGCATATAGATGTTCAAAGAAAGTTACCTGGTACTTAGGGTCGATCTCAAACTCTCCAGTGTCGATAAAATGCTCAGTGGTTTGAAAGTAAAGGCATTGCTTCAAAAGCAACAAACGAACACGATATCTAATTAAGCATCGCATCAAACTGTTTTTTCTCAAGTAAAACCAATCAAACTGTAAACTCATACCTGCTGAATCTTATCTATATCAATCAGATCTTTCATTTCTGGCACATTCACGTTAGCAGATGGAAACAGTTGCTGTTGCACTACATCTTGTGGCACACCCTAAACAAACAGAACAATTTAAGCAAATATAATATCATCTTAACATGAATAACATATCTTAAGAATAACATGAACAAAATTTTAGTTGATTTTATCGAGAAATCTAACCTGATGGGTGACAGAGTGTTGTCCAAAAGAAACAAGATCAGTCAGTTCTTCATAAATAACAGATTCTTTTAAGGCCTTGTATATATCACAACTCTGGATGGTGTTACGAGAGCATGATTGAGTATGCCTCCAAGCACGGAGGGTTACCTCCTCAATGAATATATCACAAGCTTTAGCCAAGAGAACATGACTATCCGAGCTGACCATCTAAAAGATTGAGATTATCTCACTCAATAAAATCAACAATAATAACATATTATTATCTGCCACCCCTATTAAATGATCAGCTGAACGGTAAAATCATTAACAATAAAAATTTAGATCTAAGAAAACAACAATTTTACCATGATAGAAATTTCAAAAAAATCCAGGCACAATCAACAAAAATCAAATGATTATTGAAAGAGACAATTTTGGTATTTTCTAAACCTTGACTTGAGGATCGGACTTCATAACTTTTTTTATCCTAGCCAGAGGTAAATCAAGCTTGTCATGTAATCCTATCATTCACCAAAACAAGTCAGAGAGTTAGGTAAGGGTAAGCGGGAAAAAATGTTTGAAATCTAATTGTTTTGTCTACTTTTTTTTCTTGTTTTGATGTTGTTAACAATATTGAAATAAAATACCTATGGAATTGTGGTGAGCCCAAAACTTCACCAGATCTTGGTTAAGTAGATGTCTCTGCTCATCAAAAAGATGTAACAATGCCAGTTCAGATCATCATACGAAAAGGTTAAACACGAGAAACAAAAAGACTTCAAGCAAAGACAGAGAAAGATGACTAGATGAATTTACCTCTTGGTCCATAGGACAAACAAGTGTGCTTTGATCATGTATTTGCCTAACGCTATTAACATAATGCTCGCTAGGTTCCATCATCACAAAAGATTCTTCCACAGTTGGATTTGGATTTACACTTGATGTTGCAACGATCGGTCTCACCATACTTCAAAACAGATAATCAAAATAAAAAATGATGAAGATGTTGAAGAAAGTGTTTGTGAAAAGCACATATATATATGATCTAGAACCATAAAAACAATCATTATCATTTAAGATACTACCAATATAACTAGATTTACTACCTAATCGGGAATCCTAACGAGGGAAAACAATTAGTTATGACATTAATTCTACAACTTTGGTAAATGTAATTGTGAGGCTTGAATAAAGAATAACTACTTATGAACGTAGTCACTGAAAGCCACGCGCCACGTAGAAAAAAACATGATAACCAATAGTCGTGGCGCGTGGCTTTCACGGAAAACGTGTGCGAATGGTTATCTCTTATTCAAGCCTCACGAGCCCAAATAGGTATACATTTTCCAATTTGTAAACTTAATTTCACAATTCATTGTTTTCCTCTTTAGGATTCCCAATAAGGTAAAGAATCCAGTTATATAGGTAGTCTCTTAAATGATAATTATTGTTTGTTACGGATCAAGCTCGATATATATACTTGCTTTTCACAAAAGCTCTCTTCATCATCTTCATCGTATCCGATTTTGATTATCTGTTTTGAACTATAACATGATGAGACCGACCGTTGCATCATCAAGCGTAAATCCAAATCCATCTATTGAAGAATCTTTTATAATGATAAAACCTAGCGAGCCTTATGTACATAGTGTTAGGAAAATACATGATCAAAGAAGTCTTATCTGTCCTATGAACTGGAAGGTAAATCCATCAGTCATTTTTCTATGTCTTTGCTTGAAGTCTCTTTGTTTCTCGTGTCTTTCACCATTTGGTATGATGATCTAGACTGTCATTTTTACATCTTTTTGATGAGCAGAGACATCTACTAGACTAAGATCTAAAGATATTTCGGGCTCACCACAATTCCATAGGTAATTCATTTCAGAGGAAAAACAAAAGTAGATAAACTAACTAGATTTCAAAAACAATTCCCCGCTTAGCCTTACCTAACTCTCTAACTTGTTTTGGTAAATAATAGGGTTACATGACAAGATTGATTTACCTATGGCTGGGATAAAAAAATGTTATGAAATTCACTCCTCATGTCAAGGTTTAAACAATAAAAGAATTTGTCTTTTTCGATAATCTTTTGATTTTTATTCATTGTGGCTGGATTTTTTGAAATTTTCATTCTGATAAAATTGGTGTTTTCTTAGATTTAGAATCTGTTATTGTTAACGATTTCACCGTTGAACTAATCATGTAATAGGGGTAACAAGTAACAATATGTTATTGTTGTTGATTTTATTAAGAACCTGTTGTTGTGTGAAATAAATATCATTTTTTCAGATGGTGAGCTTGGATAGTCCATGTCATTTGGCCAAAGCTTGTGAGATATTCGTTGAGGAGGTAACTCTTAGTGCCTCTAGGCAAACTCAATCATGGTCTCACAACACCATCCAGAGTTGTGATATATACAAGGCCTTAAAAATTCAGTTACTTATGATGAACTGACTGATCTTGTTTCTTTTGAACAACACTCTATCACTCAATATGTAGATTTCTCGATGATAAAAAATATGTTCATGTTATGTTTAAGATACATTATTCATGTTAAGATGATAATATATTTGCTTAAATTGTTTTGTTTTGTTTAGGGTGTACCACATGATGAAGTGCATCAGCAAGTGTTTACATCTGCTAATGTGAATGTGCTGGAAATGAAAACTCTGATTGATGTAGATCAGATTTAGCAGGTATCAGTTTTCGTTTTGATTGGTTTTACTTGTGAACAAATAGTTTGATGTGATGCTTAATTAGATATCTTGTTTGTTTGTTGCATTTTCAGCAATGCCATTATTATCTAACCACTGAGCATTTTATCAACATTGGAGAGTTTTAGCTCGACCCTAACTACCAGGTAGATTTCTTTAATCTGCTATATGCACAACAACAATAGCATTATAGCATTGTGTTATGGTGTATACATGCATGAATACATGTCGACCATTAGTCATTTTTCAACTATATTTTTGGTTCCTTGAAGGTTTTTAAATACTTTTGTTAGGCTTGAGACTTCTTTATGAAAGCTTTTATGAGCTAATAATCGTTTGAATTTCAAAAACATCAAACTAAAAAGCATTTGTTTGTTTTGTAGCTTAAATTTGATTTTGTGCCATGGATTGTAATTATGGCTTTGTTGTGAAGTAAAAATTGTCTTGGTGGAAGCTGTTTTGGAAGAGAAACTAAGTTGAAAGACAGGAGAAGAAATCTAAAGAACTATCACCTAAACCATGTTTTTGAATATGATGCTCGTGAGAAAATTGTTGAAATGTGTAGTTTTTACTCTTGTGGCCTAAACTAATGTTTTATGGTCATTTAAGCCATAACTAGTTTTGTGAATAAGTATATGTTTTTATTATACATATAACTATATATTTATTATACACTAAATTGTTTTCAATGAACTGTTTGCAACTTTTCATTAATGTGGCAATCTAATCTTCATTAACTCATATCAATCTATGGTAGAATCTTGCATGAGGATGAAACCTCACAAGCCTAATGCACATACCATGAGATCCTCATGTGTTATTGTATATCTAGACAAGTTGAGAATTTAGTCAACGATTTTACTAAAAAAATCAATGTTCAGTAGTTCCTTAAATAATATATAGTTTGCTCACTATAATTCTATATCAAAATATAGTTTGCTTAATTACTTTCACTTTGTTCGGCTTACCTCTTCAACAACAATTTCTTTCATTAAGAAGGAAATTGTTGTTGATCATGTCGTCAATTTAAGTTCCCCGATTTTAATAACAAATAGCAAAAGCATGCATAAATATGTAAAAGAACCAAGCAAGGCATTCAAAGCATAAAGAGACTGTTTTATGTTTTTTCTTTTTTTGGGAAGAACACCTAGACTAGTTATGTTAAACATATAAAGCCAAGGATATTTATATATGTTCACATGAATCACAACACAATTTATTATGTTGGAAACTTGTAATGACATACCTGATGCGTTAATACTAAGGGTGACTTGCCTTTGATGATATTTCCTCGTCCCAATGGAGAACAACTATAAACGTGTACGAGGAAAAAGAGTTACACATGACAACAAAAGTAACATTAATTAATCCCGAACCATTGATACCTTGTAAAAGAAAGGGCTCTTCTTCTATTGCTAACACTACTCAAAGGATCGGATGTTGCTTTCATACTCCTCCATCATCTAGATTTTCACCACATCGATCCATGTCATGTTGCTCATCAGTTTAAATCTGCTCCTTAGGAATCCGAGTTCTTATTTTTTGTATCTCCAAATTTCGCCAAAATTTTAAACCACCTCCTATAAAAACAAAGCATGCAAATTTTAGGAACTGTTATTAGGGCAAGAGATTGAAAGTTAACTTGCTGAAACACATTACCGTCTTACCGAGGTAGCCAAAAAAAAAAACAATTGAATATATATGGGAAGTCTACCATTTCCCAGTAACAAAAACAAGTATATATATGATCTCCTCCAATTCACTCTCACACATTGACCATGCTATATTAATGCAGTAGCTAACCCTAAACCCCATGCGATAGTTTACGTGACACCTATGTGGAGTGATATTTTAAGACTCAATATATACTCCCTAATGTGATATAAATGGTTTTCAGAGTTCAATACTTTTAGGTAAAACAAATATATATCACATAAAGGACACACCCTATCAAACTTCCCACATAAAATACTATGCATTGGCAAACCAAATCAAATCGAACATGGACTTTTAGAAAACAAAAAGTAAACATCAATTGATATAAACTCAAGCACCTAGTTTGAAAAAAATTGAGAAAGAGCAATGAATAACTTAGTGTAAATGAATTTTTGACAAGAAATAACTTTTAAACATGTAGAGAAACTAGAATCACAGTAAATGGTATCCAAATTTCAAAACTTTCAGACAAATAAAACCAATAGTGCATAAAGGACAGATCCATGAACTAATATCCTCTTCTATTTGTCTTACTGCTCACATAAAACAGATCTCATCTCAAATAAAAAATTAAAGAGAAGAACATCAAATTTATATAAACTCAAGCACCTAGTTTTGAAACAAGTGGATAAAGAGCATGACAGATCTTATCAAGTAATCTATTGCAAGCAACAAATAGTTAAAATCCCAAAATAGAAGAGAATCAAGTAATTTATTCCTAAATTCTTATCAATTATTGAATCCGAATCACTTACCCTTTTCCGAATTTCTCCTGGATGATTCACCCACACTAGTTTGGTGAAAGTGTCTTCATGGGCCATGGCACTTGCCACTACTTTTTTTTTTTTTTTTTGTTAAAGGGGCTTGCCACTACTTGATCTCAATGTAATTGATATACATCATGTTTATAGAGAGAAAGAGAAGAAATATCGAAACCAGGAAGAGAGATCAAAGTCACAAACTCTTGTTGAGAGGGAGAAAGAGATAGATTTGTTTTGACTCTGAAATATTTGTGTGAACATTAGTAGTCTCTCTTTTATTAGTCAAAAGAGGGTAAGAAATCCTTTAATTAGGCTTCTAATAAATAGAAAGTGAATCTTTTACTTTTAAAATTTATATTAGGTAAATTCCTACAAATTATTTTTACACTAGAGTGTCAACCCGTACTAGGGTAAAAGAAAAATACATGGGTAAATATGGGTGACTAAGGAATTTAAGTACGGGTGACCAAGTTTTTGATTGATTAAAATACTTTTGAAAATAGTTTAAACAAAACAAAAAATGTAACTAAAATAAAAATTGTATTAAGTAATTTTACTTATTATAATATTTGATGTGGTTAATAAAAGAAAAGTTGTTAAAAACTAACAAAACTAAATTGATTTGGTTATAATTTCTTTTTCTTAAAACATGAGTATAAAATATTTTTCTCTATTTTACATTTGGATTACAATCCCGATCTGAGAAGAATAAATTAAATTCAATCTGAACAAAAAAAATTGTTGGGTTTGAAATTTAAATTCAATCATTGAAACTGACAGATGTTTTTGGGTTTTGAAATCCTTTAATTTCAATTGAATTAAATGAAAATTAAGAAAAATGGATTTTATGAGAGTTTCAATATACATATATTATTTCAAAAAATGATTTGAGGGAAAATAAAGAAATGTTCAAAAAATAACATACTTGGTTTAGAACTGCCATAAGCCCATATATAATTGCATTAGTTCCTACTATACGTCTTCATGTGTCATGTTTATTGTCGCCTTTGTTTTTTTTTTCCTCCGCTGCTATTCCTAATGAGAGAGAAAAGAGAATTATAAGTTGTTATATGTAGTCATCCGTATGCTTATGGATACAAATGAAGTGCTTAACACAAGCAAAAACTTATGAAAGAAAGTTTTCTTCATGAAATTTTACTTCCCCCAAAAAACGTTTCACACCAAATTCATAAATATACATCATGTATGTGTAGTAGAAATCTAGTTTGAAATTGAAATCTTTACTTGTAAAAATTTTGTTTTGTAGGTTTTTCATGCATTTTACATAACAACTCTACAGGCTTTTGTTGTTAACCAATCTCGTAATATTTCAGGTTAGTGATACAATCATGTTATAGTAAGTCGTGTTGATCCTGCAGCGTATATCAAATCACTTTGATTCTTTTATTTACTGTAGGTTGTCCATACTTTTATGTGTGGGAACTATCTAAGGAAGAAAACGTCATTTTCTGCCCATACGCGTGCATTGTTAGTCCAACCACGCGTGAAAGTATCAATACTGATTTTAGAGATGTGATTGTTATCTTTGACGAGGCACAGTAAGTTTCTAATATAAGCATTTAAATTTTGAGACTCTAAAGTTATTTTTATGTTGAAAACATATTTCCTATTTTGCAGCAACTTGAAAGGGTTTGCTCGTGAAGCTGGACTATGCTTATATACAGTGTCATGCTTCATGTATAACAAAAAAGACATTTGCCTTAAGCCACAAAAAAAATAAGTAAATAAAAGGCCACATTTTTTTCTAAATTAGGCAAAACACTTATTTTTATATAGTGTTTTAGGGCTTTTCTTTTGGAAAAAACTCATATCATTAACATTTCTGAAAATTTTTGTTTATTTTTCCTCTTCATTTAACTATTAAATCTTGTTTATTTATGATACTTTTTTAAATTGAGCAAAATTTTCTTTTCTTTTTACATTTTAAAAAAAAATTCTCAAAAATAGAATATATTAGGCCACATTTTTAGCATTTGCCTTAAGCCTCTATTGACCTTGGCACGACACTGCTTATATATACAAAAAATACACGATCTCAAGAGAAACATCTTCTGCATCTACTATGTGTAAATTTAGAAAAGAGTCATCATGTGATACATGAAACGATGAGAAACGAAAATGACGAAGTGAGATCGAGACTCGAGAAAGAGATACTTAGACTAATAAGTTTAGAGTGTGAAGAAAATAAGTGTTCATAATACCTACCATAAATCGAGAGATGCAAGCGAAATAGTGGTTTCAATTGAAAGAAACTATTACTTTTGCATGAACCCCTTTTATAAATTTAGCCATGTCTGGATTCTCTTGCGAAACCGCAAAAGTAGAGTTGGATAGTGGAGACGTGGGTAAACGGTTACCGAAGATAAAACCTATACATTTTTTTAATTTTTTTTTTGCTAAATAATATCTGATAAAATTCGATTTTAAAAATTTATACAAAATTGATTTTTTTTTTTAACTTTTTAAAAAGAAGTTGCCAACTCTTTGCATTGTGTATTTTTTTTTTCTTTTTTTTTAGTTAAATTTTCTTAGAACAAAATCCATGTGGCACATTTCTATTGGTAAGGTGACTTGTGATTTATAATATAAAGGATTTTGAAGTGATATTGTATGCAAACACATAAGTCAAAAAATAAACTAAGAAACACCTTAATTAGCTTTTAAAAGAAAAGTGCATTTTTATTTATTTTTAAGCTTATACTAGGTAAAATCCCGCGAATTATGCGTGTATTCTACGACAAGTTATCTTTACACTTGGAAGTGATGTTGTATGCAATCACATTGAACATTAGTCTCTCTCTCATTAGTCAAAATAAGATAAGAAATTCATTAATTAGGCTTATAAAAGGAAAGTGATCAGTCTTTTGCATTTAAAGTTAATACTAGGTTATATTTTCCACTCGCCATGCATGTATTTAACGGCAAATTATCTTTACACTTTGAATAAACCTTGGTGTTTTCTTTGAAAGCTTGTCATCTTTTGTGTTCTTGTCAATTAAGTCTATTGGTGTGATTCCTTAGTTTTGTTTGATTACGTTCCTAGTGTGTTTGTGAGACTCAAACATTTTGGTTCGTGTGTTGATTATGTGACCCATTCATCAAAACTTCCATCTCCACCTCTACCTTCGCTCATCAAACTATTCAAGTCGTATGCCTTCAACCGAGAAGTATAAATTTAAGGTGTGATTCCGAGGATTTATATCAGGCACTGTATGTTGTGGCACAACCTAAACAAAATAGAATAGTTCAATGAAATATGTTATGTTAAGAGAAACATGAACATATTTTTGTTAGAAACAAAGATGGTAGAGCACAAGTGTGATACCACACTGTTGTTATAACAAATGTGTCAAACATCGAAGTTGAACATAACAAAAATATTTTTACTGAATGATATACTGTATTCTCTGATTTTTTATGATTGTCTCTGATAATTTCTTAGAAAGAGATTACATGAATTTATAGAAAGAAAATGTAATTGCACTCATTAGTCCCATAGACTCATTATGTCCTACAATTAAACAGAATTTTTAAACCCCCCAATTAATTAGAAACCAAAAGTGCAAATATGCATTTAACACACTTAATTACTCTCCCTCTGTTGTTTTGGTTCAAACACACTTAACTCCCCTATTTGAATCACTTTTCAACAAATTTTGGTTGAACTTTTTTTCTTTCACTAGGTAAGTTGAAAAGTGGAAGAAATCTAACCTGATGGCTAATAGCGCATGGTTCAAAAGAAATAAGGTCAATCAGATCTTTCAGAACTTCCGAACCCATGGAGGCCTCATGTATATCACCGGTCTAGATGGTCTGGCGAGAGTATGATTGAGTCTGCCTCCAAGCATTGAGGGTTAATACCAAGAAATAACTTTCCACATTATAAACTTTATATTTTGATAGATCAAGTTTTCAATACAAGCAAGCATGAAGCATTCAGAATTCTAGAAATTCTCACAACATTGCCAAAGAATTAACTCTACTACTTGCAAAATAGACATGGAGATTTTTTCAAGAACCATAATGTCTCTTTAGAGTGGAGAGTTTCATCATGCAAGTCCATCCTATGCATGGTGAAGCATCATGTTTGGCATAGAGACTGTAACACTCTGCGAGAACATCATTAGTGTGCTCCTCCTCTAGACACGCAATTTAGGTCTATCTTGTTTTTAAAGAGATACAAGTGCCTTCCACTACACTCCTAGGGAGAAGAGTGGCTCGACGCTAGTCCTCTTTCTTTTCCTCTGTGATCACCACTGCTTCTTGGAGAGTTCCAATCCCACACTGTAAATTGGTCTATCTCTCTTCTAGCTCTCACCAAATAGCAGATTGGGCTTTAGATAGTCTTGACTAGAACCCATAACATTTTCCCCACTCCTCCTCTTGTATTAATGGCTCTTCGTCTAGTTACATTGACCACATTTTGAAATGAGCGTTGAATATTTGACCTTCCAGAGATAATTCCTAATCGTACTAATAAGATAAGTAAGTGACTCCGTGAGACGGTCGAATGAGCGAATCATTCACCTAAGGGTCTAAAAATGTCTAGCTTGGTTCACTCTTCAATATAGTCAAATCACTTGCCGGCTATTATTGAGTAATCAACGTTTCTCATGACAAACAAATTTAACCGTCCACAAATTGGGATCTGGAGAAGTTCATTTGATCAATTTCATCACACATATGACATTCGATTTATGTTAAAGTTACAAATATAAATATAAAATGGTAGAAGATAGGCTTGGGCAAAATATCCGAACCACAAGAACCGAACCGGAACCGAAGCAAAAAGAACCGAACCGGAACCGAACCGAAATTTTAAAATACTCAAATGGATCCTAAATTTTAGAACCGAAAGAACCGGAACCGGAACCGAACCGAACCGAAATATTTCGGGTACCCGAAAATAGCCGAAATATGAGATTATATCTAAAAATATTAGTTATTTTTAGATTGAATAACCAAAAATACCCGAAATACCAACAAATATTTAGAAAATACATCCAAAAATACTTAAAATATCCAAAAATACTCAAAAATATCCGAAAATACCCAAAAATATCCAAAATACCTAAAAACATCCGAAAGAAAATATCCGAATAGATCCTAAACTTCAGAACCGGAACCGAACCGAAATTGTTTGGTACATATATGGATCCTAAACTCTAGAACCGAAAAAACTGGAACCGAACCGGAACCTAACCAGAACCAAACGGGTACCCGAACGCCCAGGCCTAGAAGATACATAGAAAATGACATTACAATACAAATTACTCTCTTATTGTCAGGTCATTTTCTATGTATCTTCTGTCATTTTATATTTATATTTGTAACTTTTTTATTAAATAAAAAAAAAAGTAAAAAAAAAAGTACTATTGTAGTGCCGACACTACAATATTTATTATAAAAAACAAAAGTACTATTGTAGTGCCGACAGTTTTCTGTTTCCCGTATTTATGACAAAATATTAGATCATCTTTTTTCTTTTCTAAACGTCTATGACAAAATGTTAGATCATTGCCAAATTTAAGACATAGAATTAGCCAAAGCTAAAACCTAACTGGTTACACCATTTATGGATAGAAGAAGACTACACCTAAGTTGGTGGATTCTTGGATTTGTACAAGCAGGAAATATAATCTAACTTGAACTACACTTAGATTCTACTAGGTCTTGCCATCTTTCATATATTTATGCCCGCATTCGGTGCTCATTAGTATTAGTAAATCATATATAGTATATTTTTGTTTAACTTTATTAAGAATAAATATTGTGTTTATAACCTCAAAATCTATCGATGATTTATTTTCTTTTTTTTTCATTTACTAAATTTGTTTAAATTGCTAGATATGCTACCTTTATAAATTAAAAACATACATTAGTACATTACAAATTAAAAGTAAAAAAAAAAAACACTATTCATTAAAATATAAATCTCTTAATTACACATTTTAAACTTTCACTGAAATCATTTAAAAAGATTTCACTAAATATTCGTAAAAAGTTGATTGTCCAGTGAAATATTTAGTGTTTGTTTGATTTGATTGGACAATAAACTTTTACGAGTATTTGTATTTTAGTGAAAGATATTTAGATAGTTTCAATGAACGTTTAACATGTGTCGTAGTAAGATGCTGATATTTCCATATTATAAGTACTTCAACTATATGAGAGCTTGCATCAATCTAATCCAACCAAAGAATAATGGCGAATTCCCAAAGATCTCTGATCGATCCAAGAAACGGTTTCTGCAATGCAAACTCCACATTTTACAGTAAACGCAAACCATTGGCACTTCCATCAAACGACTCGCTCGATGTCACAACATTCATCTCCTCCCAAACGCACCGTGGCAAAACCGCCTTCATAGACGCTGCCACGGACCACCGCATAAGCTTCTCTGATTTATGGAGAGCCGTCGATCGTGTGGCTAACTGTCTCCACCAAGACGTGGGAATACAGAGAGGTGACGTTGTTCTTGTCCTCTCTCCCAACTCCATCTCCATCCCCATTGTCTGCCTCTCCGTTATGTCTCTTGGCGCCGTTGTCACCACTGCGAATCCTCTCAACACCGCCAGTGAAATCTCTAGACAAATCGCCGATAGTAATCCAAAGCTCGCTTTCACAACACTGGAACTGGCTTCCAAACTAGCCGGTTCTCGTATCTCCATCCTCCTTGAGCGCGTAGAAGACACTTTACGCGCTCCAGGAGGACTCAAAGTGGTTGGGATTCTAAGTGAGATGATGAAGAAAGAACCTAGTGGACAAGAAGTCATCAGACACCGAGTAAGCAAAGACGACACAGCGATGTTGCTTTACTCGTCCGGGACAACCGGGCGAAGCAAAGGAGTGAATTCGTCCCACGGGAACTTAATAGCACATGTCGCAAGATACATCGTGGAGCCATTCGAGCAGCCACAACAGACCTTCATTTGCACTGTTCCATTGTTCCACACCTTTGGTTTACTAAACTCCGTTTTAGCCACCTTAGCGTTAGGTTCGACCGTTGTCATCCTCCCGAGGTTTGACCTCGGGGAGATGATGGCAGCGGCCGAGAAATACAGAGCCACGACTCTGATTCTCGTGCCGCCAGTTTTAGTAACTATGATAAACAGAGCGGATGAGATAATGGCGAAGTACGACGTGAGCTTCTTGAGAACAGTGCGGTGCGGTGGAGCACCCTTAAGCAAGGAAGTTACCGAAGGGTTTATGAAGAAATATCCAACGGTTGATGTTTATCAAGGATACGCATTGACGGAATCTAACGGTGCAGGAGCTTCGATAGACTCAGTGGAGGAGAGTCGGAGATACGGTGCGGTGGGGTTGTTGTCATGTGGTGTAGAAGCGAGGATTGTGGACCCAAATACTGGTCGGGTCATGGGTTTGAACCAAACGGGCGAGCTTTGGCTTAAAGGGCCTTCTATTGCCAAAGGTAAATTATATTAGAAATTTTCTTTAAATTGTAAGGTAGAGGTTTTATAATGAAAGTTAAAGAGTTAATTAACGGAAAAAATGTCGAAAAAAACATAAAACTTTTAAATTTGAAACGAAAAAAACATAAATTTTTGAAATGTCAATTAAATCGTAAAATTTGGTTTTGACTTTTTGTTAAAATAGCCAAATTTTGTTGATTTGGCCAGTTCGAACATGTTGTTAAATTTCTGTTAAAAAGTTGATAATCGTTTTGAAAACAATAAAACGACGTCGTTTCATTGAAAAATAGGAAAGAAAAATTGCACCCATGAGGGATCGATGCTCGTGACTTTATGAACTCATAACAAACTCTTAACCGTTGTGCCATGACAACATTATGGCATGATAAAAAACACGTATGATATACACCATTTATTTACAAGAAGATCCTACTAGTTGTTTTTGGCCAACTATTACCATTAATAGAATCATCTAACAAAGTCACACTGATTTATATTTGTTTGTGTTTAAAGGTTACTTTAGGAAAGAAGAAGAAATTATAACTTCAGAAGGATGGCTTAAAACAGGAGATCTTTGCTATATAGACGATGATGGATTTCTTTTTATCGTTGATCGATTGAAAGAGCTAATCAAATACAAAGGTTACCAGGTAAAAAACAAAAAAAAAAACAAAAACCTTAGTTATGTATAACAAATGCACTTATCGATTTACGTTTTTTAAAGCTCAATCACAAGCAGAAAAATATAACGTTTTGGATTTGTATAATAGGTACCGCCAGCTGAACTAGAGGCTCTCTTACTAAACCATCCAGATATCCTCGATGCAGCTGTTATTCCGTAAAGTCTTCCTATCATTTCTTACTTTTGTTTCTTCTTTTCTTGGGATTGTTGCGGCTGTAGCTTTAGATTTTTGACTATAGATTTTAAGACTGTATATATTTTGACTGTGACTGTAGATTTTAGTGCTGTAGTATTTTTGCTATAGAATTTAAAATTTTGGAATGTTGAAATTGTATGGCTTTAGAAAATAAAGCTTTCTACAACCAAGTAAATTATAAAAATATTTTGGCTGTGAGAAAAAAAAGGAAAGCTAAAGCTTCTAAACCTTGATGAAATCTATTTTAATGCTTTAATTTTGTTTTTGTTTTTTAATGACTCTAAAGCATTTGCCAGGCCCTAAGAATTCAAGATTTCTGTCTTTTCAACATAAAAACAAGAAGTTTTATTTTGCTTTTTGTTTGATTATTTTTGTTGCATCTTAAAGGTTTCCAGATAAAGAAGCAGGACAATATCCAATGGCTTATGTGGCACGAAAGTCTGGTAGCAATCTTTGTGAGAAGAAAGTTATTGAGTTTATTTCTAAACAGGTGCTTTTATGATCAAAACCATAACCAAATTCATTTATATAAAATTTTGTGAATTTTGGTGATTGATTTTAGTTAATGTATAATAACAGGTGGCGCCATATAAGAAAATAAGAAAGGTTGCATTTATAGACTCTATACCAAAGACTCCATCGGGCAAAACACTTCGCAAGGATCTAATCAAATTTGCCATTTCTAAACTTTAAAAGAAACGCTAGACGCTAGTTTGTCATTTGTATTTGTATGATTTTTTATTTCTGACATAATAAAAGAGAATTTATATCCGCTTAATTAGCTCGGTTAGAACATATCTAAAGATTTCTATTTGAATTAATCTTTGTGGTTAAGTGATTGTATTCGGCGTGACACTTAATCTTAAACTTTCTTTTCTAAACTTACTTTATTAATTGGTCATTCTTTCTTCCCTTAAAGGAACATTGTTTTGAGAATAAGATAATAAATTGAAACGAAAATGAAGTGAAAGAGATGGAGTAGCAGTAGGGAATCAGTCCAAAGGCGGAACTGGTTTAGTGGATGTATCTAAACTAGGTAGAGAGATAAGATTCAGCAACTTTGAAATCTCGTGGCTTTCTCTGAAACAGACTTTGGTCGCCACTTCTTCAAATCATACAGAGATAATTGCACTTTTTAAAACATGCAGAGAATGTATATGCCTCGGATCTATGAATAACCACATACAAAAAGCAAGTGAAAAATAGTCACCAGTAAAGAGCCGACAACATTATTTGAAGAAAATGCTGCATGTGTTGTCCAAATCAAAGAAAGTTATATCAAGAGCTACAGAACTAAGCATATCTATTTTATTAGTGTGATTATCTATTTATCACTTATTGCCCAAGTAATTAAAGTAACTTATTTTCCAAATTTTATGTGTATGGCTTATTTATTATTAAGCCCTTATATATATATATAAAATTTTATATATATCTTATATAATATGACAAGGTTTCCTCAAAACAAGTTCTAAGAATCTGACATTTGGCGCTCTATTATTCTGACACATGTCATTTTTTTATTGCAATAAGTCTATTCTATTGAATTTGAGAACAATAACCACAATATTAAAAGTTATATTTGAACAAAAAGATATTTTCCTACATTTTATCTTTGTTTTGTTCACCTAATTTATAGTAAAATTAAAGATAAAATTATTTGACGATAACATAATTTACGGATATACGATATAAGATATTTGATTTATTTTTATTTTTTCTCTTATATACATCATATTGTCCTATGGTTATTTTCTGTTTTATCTCTTCACTTTAATATAAATTATTCACATGACATGATTGTTACATTTTTTTGAAATGTCATTCTAATTAGAATAAAGTGAATAAATGTTCTCCTATTAATATATAGTTTATCAATATTTAAAGTACTACTAATCTCATGAGAATTGGATTTTCTAAAATAAAAAGAGAATGAGTATATTAATAAATTAACTTTATTTATTTCTAATTAAATAACAGATATACACATTTAATCATATACATTAATCTACCTTTTAATACTAAATTGTAACCTAAATCATATAAATTTTATATTAATTACTTTCTCTATTCAATGTCATTCAACACAGTATTAACTATTATTTGTACTCCCATAGCCTAATTAATCGTTTTAGATTTTTAATGCAGATGTTTGGTAAATATTTTATTTTTACCTTCACTGTTTTAATGTCTTGACCAATAAAAAAATTAGAAAATATTTTGCATAAGGGTAAAGTAGAAAATTTATTTATTTTCTTAATTTTTGTGCAAAAACCTTAAACGGCAAGTAATATAAAACATAGAGAGTATCATTTATTTTAGCATCATAAGAATAACACAATACCGTACACAACGGAAAAAAAAACACAATAATACCACACACCAATCTCAAATCTCAACATGACTATATAATGATGCTCTCTTTCTTTTAATTTGATCTTTGAATTTGGTTTTATGGGTTTCTAACCCTTAATCGAATTATGCTTAGTACCTCTTACCACTACTTACTCTATAGTGAACTAAATTGACATCAAATTCTTTTTGTGGTTTCTTATGTTTTTGTATTTATTTTCTTATAGAGTTTTTTTAATGTTCAAATTGTTTCAATTTTGTGTGAAACCATTACATTTTGTGGTTTCTTATGATTTTGTATTTATCTTCTTATAGAGTTTTTTATATTCAATTTGTCTCAAGTTTGAACCTTCATGTGTGAGGTCATTATATTTTTTGTGGTTATCAACAGTTTTTATTTGTTGATGAATTTCAAGAAGAACGCTAACCTATATTATAAGAAGTCACCAACTTTATAAGGTAAATTACCTACGATTAAAGTTTTGTTTAACATCAATTGTATATTCTATGACATCATTTACTAATATTAATGATTTTTCCTATCTTTTTTGTTTCTTTTAAAAAAAAAAATACTTTTTTTAATGTCATTTTTCTAAGTTTGGAAGCAAAAGTAGATTTCAATCCATAATGTTATATGTTTAAAGTTTATGATGGTAAGATATGTTGTATATATTTTAATTCTATTTTTTTCTATGAGAAAATAAATAAGTTTATCGTTTTGTTTCGAAATATATATAAATGTTTTGTGTATGCTAACTATATTGTTAAAAATATTTATATTTATATCTGATTATGAATTGATTTTAGCTCAAAATTCTAAATAGGTGACCAGTTTTTCATAATCACTAAATACAATTTCATATCTCATATAGAAACATTTTTAAAAGATATTCTACACATATATAAAAGTAGCTCTTTTTTTTTGCTGATATGTGCCATATTTTTTTTTCTTCTATTTTTTTCTTTTTTCTTTAAAATAAATTATTTTGATAACTTTATTTTCTGATTGATGCAGTAGAAATTGAAGAAAATATATTTAATGATGTTTGAGTTAACAATTTTCAATAATTACTATGACATCTTATATATATCTTTCTTTTTACTATCTTTTTAAAGTCGACAATTGACAATATAATATGTTCTTATATATTTGTTTTAGCGATATGTGCCTTATTATCTTATTTTTCTTTTTTACTTTAAATAAATATTTTACATCATGTTATTGATAAATAATTTTCTGATTAATAGAGTATAAATTGCATAAATTATATGCCGCTATGCCGACAAAAAAAATTGCATAAATTATCTCCTGATAATGTTTAACTCGCATATATTTTAAATAACTACTTCGAAATTTTATATAGTTGCCTTACCTAAAATTTCTATTATTTTAAAGTAAACAAATAACATCAAAATATAGGAAAAAAAATTGAATGTCTTAGCAAATTCGATTTTTCTAAACAACGCTAATTATGAATACTACCGTTTATAATTATGACTATTATGACTACAGATGCTAATAATTTCCTTTCTAATTCAAAAGACTAATAGTTACGTGAACTAACTACTACATGAATTATTTATAAATCATATTCATCAAATTATTACTTGGGATTTAAAATATGTTCTCATATTGGAATTAAACTAAATCCTCAATATAATATATAAATCTTATGGTAAGTGAAGTTTTCAAATTATCATCTACTTTTTATATGCTAATTTTACTAATTAATTAATCAAGAAAAATAGATAATTTGTGGAATAGATGAAGACCTTTGATATCTTCCGTTTATTTACTTTGTCTTAGAAAGATCAAACTCGATTTGATTATAAGAAATTTATAAAATTTTATTTACTGTCTAAGCCAACTTCTCCTAAATTTCTGACACAAATTTTTCAGGTTCAGTCACGTGAAAATCAAAGTTTCTTATACTCCAATAGTTCAACCATGAAAATTTATATTACCATATATACTACAAATCTACAACCATGTTAGTTAATTTGGAATGTCAAGCATTTTTAAAAAAATGAGTGATGATAGTTTTCTAACATTGTGCCCATAGATTATAGCACATCGGACAGTTACAGTCCCTCTTTTGTCTAAAAACCTAATTTAAGCAACATGTTTTCTATAAACTGATGATGATGGCAATACATATCTCAGTTTCTGATGGATGAAACCGGGGAACCCTTAAATAATTTGCTGATAACTCAGCCCAAGTCAATGTTTAGTAGTTTTCCTAGCTTTGAATTTTGTTTACAATGAACATGATTGGAAAATTCATGTAATGCATTATAGTTTTAGTTTGTTGTTTATTTTACTTGCATCTATAGTTTTAGTTTACGAATGAAGATGCTAAGTGTTAAAGTATGTTAGATATATGTTTCGATAATATATATTCAAATTATTCCCACGCATCGCGTGGGACATTTTCTAGTATATATATATAAGTGAAGAAGTGGTAGAGAGAAGTTTATAATAAAAACTCTCTTGCTCACCCTCTTGTCCATCATTTTTTTTTTCTTTACATAATGTATCACTTTTAAAATACTATATAATATTTAACAGTACTAGCAAGTCTGAACAAACCTAGATAATGTTTCCGTCTTGTTCTGAGTTTTTATTTGTGACCGCAAACGCAAAATGGCAGAAGTGATAGTGCTTTCTTCGAGCATTGTTCGTCCCAAAAAGATAAACAAATCAGATCATACAAAGATCCATTTAACTCCATATGATCTTAAACTTCTTAATTTTGCTTATCCTCAAAGAGGTCTTCTCTTCCCAAAACCCGACGACGAAACCGGTATCATCCATCGATTAAAGGCCTCTCTTTCGATTGCATTGGAAGTCTACTTCCCGTTCGCTGGTCGTCTCGTCAAAGTGAATAACCATGAAGATAACACAGTGTCGTTTTACATTGACTGCGATAGCTCCGGCGCTAGATTCGTTCACGCCAAAGTCGAATCCGTCTCCGCAAACGATTTCCTTCAACCTTATGACTCTGTTCCTGACTTTAAAAGATGTTTCTTTCCCGCAAACGATCTCAAAAGCTCTGATGGTGTCTCTGAGCCCTTACTTGCGTTGCAAGTCACCGAGATTAAGGATGGAGTTTTCATTAGTTTTGGTTACAATCACATGGTGGCCGATGGTTCTTCCTTCTGGAATTTCTTCCACACTTGGTCTAAGATATGTATGAATGGTTCGAGTTCGGATATTCACCCTCTTGTTCTCAAAGATTGGTTCCTTGACAAAGTCGAATACCCGATTCATATGCCAGCTCCAGAGACGGGGAGGCCACCAAGATGTGAAATTCCAACTAAAGAGAGAGTTTTTCACTTCACAAAGACGAATATCTCAGATCTTAAAGCGGAAGCCAACGCGGATATTACTTCCACCGATATGAAAATCTCGTCCCTTC